CCTTTGTTCTCCTCGGTGTGCATTCTGACAGACAGCAAGACAAGGTGCCTTCTGCTTGTGTTTCTGGTCACTCGTCAGGTCACTCACTTCCCAGAGTTCACTTGCTGCATAGCGACATAGCGACACTTGGCCCAGATGAAAAAAACTGAGATGGATGGAGCGTCTGCTCTCTCGCTGTCCACAGTGCAGAGTCAGAGCAGCAGCAGCAGCAGGGTGGAGTGCAGGAGAGATTGCCTCCCAAAGGATTACAAAATGACTCTGAGGCTTCTGTGGTGCAGTGCTTTGTTTTTGTTTTTTTTCCAACCTCCCTCCTCCTCCTCCTTTTTTTTTTTTTAAAAGGAGCTGTTGCTGCGTGGTCCTCCAGAGAGGCCAGATTCTCTCCATCAGCACAGTGTCACCTCCTGCAGAGAGGTTTGACAGGAACTGCTGTTCGGTTAGCACACCTTGACATCTCCAAAGGACACCCCGCTGCAGCACTGTCATGAATTCACATGCAGTGTCGCTCACTGCATCATTAGCAGTTCTTTTTTTTTTTTATTGCATGCAGTATTCATACAGGTGGAAGTGTCACAGGTGCTCCTTCACAGGCTGCCTCCAGGTCGGTGTCCTGTTATGACATAGAGTCACAGTGGGAAAGCTGCACTTCATGCATTTTAAACAGCTTTCACATCCCTGAACCTGCAGAAAGTTAAGGTGCAATAAATCCTCTTTACACTACCTGTTCAGATGCAAAAGACCCCCGTGAGAGACAGGCAAAGGGTCACAAGTTGTAGCGATTACTTCCTGTTAACCTTCTTGCTATCACCACCTTTCATGGCTTTGAAATTGAGTCTGTATCTCAATACAGATATCTGGGGTTTGTGATTGATGATTCTCTTTCTTTTAAGCCTCACATTCAGGAATTGGTAAATAAAAACTCAAGTTAAAATTAGGATTTTATTTTAGAAATATGTCTTGCTTTTCATAAAAAAAAAAAACTTGTTGCTGCCACATTTATGTCGGTGCTAGACAATGGCGATGATATTTACATGCCTACATGCGCTGTCTACTGTCTACCATGGGGCACTGAGGTTTATTACCAGTCTTAAAGCCCTTACTCATCACTGCTCCTTGTATGCTCAGAATATTTAATTATCTTAAATTGTGAGTGATATGAACCACTTAAAAAATGTAAGCAAACAATTTAAGACACATTCGATAACAAGTTTCTGTTTTAGTAAGTAAGAAGACTTCTTCAGCCCTGAGATGTATTTATTTGTCTCTATTTTACTCGACACTACGCTTGCTATGGTTATACATCTTCTGTTTTTCAGCATTGGGTTTTGTGTGTTTGTGTTTTTGTTTGTGTTTCAATGTGAGCGTTTTCTTTGTTTGTTTACGTCTCTGGTCAATATAATAAGTACAGCTCTCAAAATGGAGGCGAGTGGTTATAGGGGCTTCACTGGACCACAGCAAATGCAGGCAGCTGAAACAGACAGACACACACACACACACACACATAACACACACACACACACACACACACACACACACACACACACACACACACAGTTATTACATCTCAGCTATGTCCTATTACAGCTGGATTTATGACTGAGAGAGCCAAGGTGATAAATTCGTCCCCTAATCCTGAATGCATCAGCAGACATGAGGGACCGCTGTCTCAGTCTGACCTCCTTCATATTGTTTATGATCCGAGGACCACCCACTCTTTGTTTGGCTTACCTGCTCTTCTTCATCCTCCTCTTCCTCCTCCTCTTCCTCCTCTTCCTCCTCCTTTTCCTCCTCTTCCTCCTCCTTCTCCTCCTCTTCCTCCTCCTCCTCCTTTCTCTCCTTCTCCTCCTCCTTCCTCCTCCTTTTCCTCCTCCTCCTCCTCCTTTTCCTCCTTCTTCCTCCTTCTCCTCCTTTCCTCCTCCTTTCCTCCTCTTCCTCCTCCTCCTTTCCTCCTCTTCCTCCTCTTCCTCCTCCTTTTCCTCCTCCTCCTCCTCCTTCTCCTCCTCTTCCTCCTCCTCCTCCTCTTCTTCCTCCTTCTCCTCCTCTTCCTCCTCCTTTCCTCCTCCTCCTCCTCCTTTTCCTCCTCTTCCTCCTCCTTTTCCTCCTCCTCTTCTTCTCCTTCTCCTCCTTTCCTCCTCTTCCTCCTCCCCTTTCCTCCTCTTCCTCTCTTCCTCCTCCTTTTCCTCCTCTTCTCCTCCTCTTCCTCCTCCTCCTCCTCTTCTTCCTCCTTCTCCTCCTCTTCCTCCTCCTTTTCCTCCTCTTCCTCCTCCTCCTTTCCTCCTCTTCCTCCTCTTCCTCCTCCTTTTCCTCCCTCCTCCTCCTCCTTTTCCTCCTCCTCCTTTCTCTTCCTCCTCCTCTCCTCCTCTTCCTCCTCCTTCTCTCTCCTCTCTTCCTCCTCTTCCTCCTCCTTCTCCCTCCTCTTCCTCCTCTCCTCCTCTTCCTCCTCCTCCTCCTCCTCTTCCTCCTTCTCCTCCTCTTCCTCTCTCCTCCTCTTCCTCCTCCTCCTCCTCTCTTCCTCCTTCTCCTCCTCTTCCTCCTTCTCCTCCTCTTCCTCCTCCTTCTTTTCCTCCTCTTCTCCTCCTCCTTTCCTCTCCTCTTCCTCCTCCTTCTCTCTTTTCCTCCTTCTCCTCCTCTTCCTCCTCTTCCTCCTCCTCTTCCTCCCCTTTTCCTCCTCCCCCTCCTCTTCCCTCCTCTTCCTCCTCCTCCTTTTCCTCCTCCTCTCCTCCTCCCCTTCTTCCTCCTACTCTTCCTCCTCCTACTCTTCCTCTCCCCTCTTCCTCCCCCTTTCTCCTCCTCTTCCTCCCTTCCTCCTCCTCCTTTCCTCTTCCTCCTCTCTTCCTCCTCCTTCTCCTCCTCTTCCTCCTCTCCTCCTCTTCCTCCTCCTCTCCTCTTCTTCCTCCTTCCTCCTCCTCTTCCTCCTCCTCCTTTTCCTCCTCCTCTTCCTCCTCCCCCTTCTTCCTCCCTATCTCCTCTCCCCTCTTCCTCCTCCTTCTCCTCCTCTTCCTCCTCTCCTCCTCTTCCTCCTCTCCTCCTCTTCCTCCTCCTCCTTTCCTCTTCCTCCTCCTCTTCCTCCTCCTTTCTCCTCCTCTTCCTCCTCTCCTCCTCTTCCTCCTCCTCCTCTTCCTTCTTCCTCCTCCTCTTCCTCCTCTCCTCTTCTTTTCCTCCTCTTCTCCTCCTCCTTTTCCTCTTCCTCTTCCTCCTCCTTCTCCTCTTCTTCCTCCTCTCCTCCTCTTCCTCCTCTTCCTCCCTCCTCTTCTCCTCCCCCTCTTCCTCCCCCTTTTCCTCCTCCTCCTCCTCCTTCTCCTCTTCTTCCTCCTTCTCCTCCTCTTCCTCTCTTCCTCCTCCTCTTCCTCCTCCCCCTCTCCTCCCCTTTTCCTCCTCCTCCTCCTTTCCTCCTCCTCTTCCTCCTCCCCTTCTTCCTCCTACTCTTCTTCCTCCCCTTTTCCTCCTCTTCCTCCTCCTCCTCCCCCCTCCTTTTCCTCCTCTTCCTCCTCCTCCTTTCCTCTTCCTCCTCCTCTTCCTCCTCCTTCTCCTCCTCTTCCTTCTCTCCTCCTCTTCCTCCTCCTCTTCCTCCTCCTCTCCCTCTTCTTCCTCCTTTCCTCCTCTTCCTCCTCCCCTTCTTCCTCCTACTCTTCCTCTCCCCCTCTTCCTCCCCCTTTTCCTCCTCTTCCTCCTCCTCCTCCCCCCTCCTTTTCCTCCTCTTCCTCCTCCTCCTTTCCTCTTCCTCCTCCTCTTCCTCCCTCTCCTCCTCTTCCTCCTCCTCCTCCTCTTCTTCCTCCTTCTCCTCCTCTTCCTCCTCCTCCTTTCCTCCTCCCCCCTCCTCTTCCTCCTCCCCCTCTTCCTCCTCTTCCTCCTCTTCCTACTCCTCTTCCCCCTCCTCCTCCTCCTCTTCCTCCTCCTCTTCCTCCTCTTCCTACTCCTCTTCCCCCTCTTCCTCCTCCTCTTCCTACTCCTCCTCCTCTTCCTCCTCTTCCTCCTCCTCCTCCTCTTCCTCCTCTTCCTCCTCTTCCTCCTACTCTTCCTCCTCCCCTCTTCCTCCTCCTCCTCCTCTTCCCCCTCCTCTTCCTCCTCCTCTTCCTCCTCTTCCTCCTCCTCTTCCCCCTCTTCCTCCTCCTCCTCTTCCTCTTCCTACTCCTCCTCCTCTTCCTCCTCTTCCTCCTCCTCTTCCTCCTCTTCCTCTTCCTACTTCTCCTCCTCTTCCTCCTCCCCCTCCTCTTCCTCCTCTTCCTCCTCCTCTTCCCCCTCTTCCTCCTCCCCCTCTTCCTCTTCCTACTCCTCTTCCTCTTCCTACTCCTCCTCCTCTTCCTCCTCTTCCTCCAGGTCATCCCTGACTGGAAGGAGCAGGAGTGGGACACAGAGAAGCCAGAATCCTACGCTGGAATTTTCCACTTCCGCTTCTGGCGTTTTGGCGAGTGGGTGGACGTGGTGATTGACGACCGGCTACCGACGGTGGACAACCAGCTGGTCTACTGCCACTCCAACGACAGCAACGAGTTCTGGAGCGCTTTGGTGGAAAAGGCCTACGCCAAGTGAGTATCAGAGCCAAATAAACAGATTGAGATTTAAATGAGAGACACAAAGACGATTACTGAAAACTCAACATTTCATTGAAACTTTGAGAAATGTTGTTTTATAACCTCTAATAAACCAACAGTCTTAAATAAATGTCAGTATGAAATGAATAGACGTGTCTTTTTAATATTCAGACAACAGAGGACTTAATAATGATACGCAGAGACATGCTGCAAGTTGTTATTTTCTAAAGTCTGTACCTGGCTTCCACCGGTGGCCTCTTTCCGCATGTCATTCCCCGCTCTCTCTCCCTGGTTTCCGACTCTATCCACAGTCCTCTCTCTGCATTAAAGGCACAAAAAGCCCAAAAATACATCTTAAAAAAAAAAAAAAGATGTCTTTCCAACTTTAAAAAAAATGCAATCTGGTTTTTGTCAAATGTTGAGTTTTTTAAGATATTGGTGTAGCAAGAAGGAATCATTGTCCACCAACCTGCGTTTCTTTTTTGTACCTTTCTTGCAGACCTTGATGGTTTCTAGCGATGTAAACAAAGTGAAGATAGGACTCTGAAAACTCTGAAAACATCACAGACAGTGGGGACTCGGGTGTTACACCCATTGTAGACAGTCATGACTCACAGAGTTATTTTCAGAGGAGATACTTGATTTCTACATTTAAGAGTGAAAAATCACATAGAAAGACTTTAAAAAAGTTGAAAAATTATGGGTTGCTGAAGGTTTCTTTATGGACAAACCCTTGAAAATGTAACGACCATTCCTCTCCTCCTCCTGCAGGGTTTATGGCATCTACGAGGCTTTGGACGGGGGAAACACGGCTGATGCGCTGGTGGATTTCACTGGTGGGGTTTCAGAGCCTGTGGACCTGCTGGAGGGTCAGATGGCAACAGACGAGGTGGCCCGGAACCAGCTGTTTGAAAGAGTCCTCAAAGTCCACAACAGAGACGGCCTCATCAGCTGCTCCATCAGGGTGAGCTCAGAGCCACGGCTAAGAAAAGTCTTTTTAGATAGATATTCATGTGTTTGTGTCCCTTCAGAGTATAATATGCAACATTTTAGACGTTAAAAAAGCAGATATCAAATAAATCCTAACCACCCCTCCCTTAGTGTTCAGACTGAGACTGAGTGTTTCTACAACTGATCTCCATTCTGATATACAGCCCAAAGTCCATTCTGATTTCTTTATCCCAAAAAAAGTATTTTCTTCGGTTTGGAGAGTCTCAACTAACAGCGTCCCTAAATGGGCGATATCTCAGTCTGTAGGGACTTGTGTTGGGAACCGGAAGGTTGCTGGTTTAAGTCCTGGTGCAGACCAAATTTGGAAATTGGTCCGGTAGCTGGACCAATTTCCAAAAACTAAAAATGTAATTTCCCCTGGCAGGATCTATAAAGTATATCTTCTTCTTCTTAAATATTGGCTAATTAGCAAACAAACAAAGGACACTGCAGAGGCTGATAGTACATCATTCAAATACTTATATTGTACTTATATCATAAGAGTTCACTTGTCATTTTTGCACCATGTCAATACCTGTTCTGGCAAAATTGTTTAATCCTCTGAAGCTGACCCCAGAGCTCCTTTCATAATTATACCATTTTCCAGCTGTAATTTTAAAAATCCAGTGCGGATGAAAACCCCCACCTCCCTGTTGCAAAGATAGCAGACCACTATAGTGCCAAATCTTCTGCATAAATTCTTCCTCAACTTTCAAAAGGCTCTTCAATGCAGTGCAGCATTTTTGTGTGAGATTTACGTGAGGTGCACACAAATGAAAAGCGTGCACTCATTTGGTCATTTTGATGATAGTACTTGTTGAAGGACCCTCTCACAGAGCAGCTCATGCACTAACAGCCGAATTGTGGTTAATCTATGTTTAAAAAAAAAAGAGTTAAAGAGGAAGCCATTGAACCCATTTAGAACAGTGTGAGGCCGACATCTTCCAGAAATCAAAGCACTTTGATGGGGAGGAAGAACAAGTGAGAGCTACAAACAGAATTTTAATCAATGTCATGTGTGCTTGGAACCTGCGCTAAAAAGATGTGGGTTGATCTCTCTGGAATGAAACGATGATGGAAAAGATCTGTCATAAATTAAATGAGGGGGGCAGTATTATGTCGCTAGCTTTTTCAAGGAGATAGTTTGATGGCATCGATGGAGACTCGTCATCATGTTGGACAGATGTTTTTTTCCCGAGGTTGAGGCCGTACCGAACAGATTGTAAACACACCCGTCTGAGATCAGAGACCAGCAGCACATAGATCAATCTCTGAACCCTTCAGATATCACCTGGTGACTGTTAAGCCTCTGCTGATATGTCAGGGCTTCTGATGTAGCCAGCTGATATCAGTGTAAAGGATTAAAGGATATCCAGGCCAAGACTTCCTTTCATGCCACTGGTTGCTCCAGTGTCAAAAAAGAGAAGACTCAAAGTTTAGCACATTTTATTTCTGCCACAGCGTCTTCAGGTAAATGATCTCAAATTGGTTTGCTGACTTTGTTTGCAGATCGTCACATCTGAAGATATGTGTACGCATTTGTGGATCTTACACTAAGCGATCATTTGTGTGTATTTTCAGGATTTACAGCTGAAAAAACTCACCGCCATTAATAAATAAGTAAACATTTCGAAATTGGTCTACATATTTGCAGATTAGTTTACACATTTGTGGATCTTTTTACACATTTGTGGATCTGTGTACACATATTCAAATAGTTTTGCCACAATAATAGCTCCATAAAGTCGGTTCCAATAGTTCACTCTGCAGTCCTAACTGTCCGTTGCAGTCAATGTAATGTTGATAGTTACTTTTGGATTCAGGACTAAATGTGGCATAATCACATCATGTCATTTCAAAAGATCAGTGAGTAAAATTTAATTCATGCAGACTGTGATGATTTTAGTAGAGCCCGACCGATTAATCGGCCAGCCGATAATATCAGCCGATATCAGCATATCTAGTAACTATGGCAATCGGCTAAAATTATCTCTGATATGCGGCAATATTACTAGATTTATTCACGAGTTAAATAGTTTCATTTGAATTTCATTGTTATCACACTAGCAGCTCTCTGTCACCAGCAGAGGGTGCAATTACTTTCCAGTTGAGTAAACATCGTATCTTCATTTCATATTTTATGTGTTTGATAACTGCATTTTAGGTATCATTGCATTTATTTGTAAATCTCAGTCTATCTGTCTCTACAGATTGAATAAAGGTCTAACAAAGATATCGGCCAATATATTTGTATCAGATTTTTTTTCTGTCCCCAAAATCGATATCAGCATCAGCTCTAAAAGTGCATATTGGTCTGCCTTGGGTTATAGTGTTATGTAACCAGACTATAAGACTTGGACACAAACATCCTGGAGCCATCATGGCCTCCATTAGATGCTGTTAAAGCAGCAATGGACTCACTCTTGGGAATGATATTCCTTCTGAAAAGCTTATTTTCCATGAACTCATGTTTTAGAAATCCATTAAGCAGAGCATCTATTTGTCCTTTCTCTGCTTTTAATTGTCTTGTGTTGCCATTTTAATCAGGCTCTCGGTTGTTGTTGTTGGATAATAATGTTTGATATTGGCAGTGTAATCTGTCACAAAAAGCCAAGCAGACTGAGCACATAATTACTGGATCGAAGAACCAATTTTCTGATAAAGCTGCCCAGTGATTCTCTTCCTCGTACCGTCCAAATGTTTGGACTTGAAAATGGTGCATTGCTCAAATTTGAAAGTGTCACATTATTGTTATTTTCTTAATGAAATACACACACCAAAATGTTCCATTGTGTTTGGTTTCCCAGGCAACATCAACAAAGACAAAATCCTGAAATGTGCTTCCTTGTACCTGCATGAAGAGATGATCGATATAAGACTTTAGGATAGTTTTACCAAGATTAAAAAAATGAATATACCAGCTGCTCCAAACAATCTGAATCTGTAAGAGAGCAACATTATACGTTCTTGGAGTAAAATTACTTCAGATATGTTTCCTTTTAATGCAAGTGAATATATGTTTCAACACTTATGAATTGGGAATCACAGTTTTTGGAAAACTGGAGCTGGAAAACCTTGAAGGAGGGTTAACCCTACACTGCAGCTTTCTGAGATCCTCAATCAATCAATCGGTCAATCAATCAATCTATTATTATTTGTTTAGCACTAATTCATAACAATTGTAATTTCGAGACACTTTACAAAAAGCAGGTAAAAGACCTTACTCATTGTTATATTACAAAGACCCAATGTTAATCCATCATGAGCAACATTAAGCTAAGTTGTAGTGGCTATGGAAAAACATGCTTTTTTTTTTGTTTTGTTTTTTGTTTTAATACTTTTTATTTGATAGATTTGAAGAAAGCAACTCTTCACTCTGTTTGTTTACATCTGGGTGGTAGACCACGGGGCTCAACATTCCCATTCTGAGTCTGAAAGTGAAAACGTGTTGTATATCTCTCTTCTTGGTTTCCATTTTCTCCCTGTTTGCTTTAAGTAAGTGAACATCATCTCTTTATTCAGTCCTCTTGGACACAAAGCTTTCTTTTTTTCTTCCAATTCAAACAGCGAGTGTGACTTATCAAAGACTTTAGACTTTAGACTTCATTGTCCCCAAGGGGAAATTATTTTCCACAGCACCGTCCAAACAGACAAGTCCCTCCAAAGAACATTCATACACAGAGAAACAGAGTATAACACAAACAGAGATAGACAGAAAATCAAGAATTCCCACTCTGGCTCCACCAACTTATAACTAGACATGCCTTTCTTTGCCGTTGTCCAGGCGACCACCATAGAGGACATGGAGGCCCGGCTGGACTGCGGCTTGGTAAAAGGCCACGCCTACGCTGTGACGGACGTAAAGAAAGTGCGGCTCGGTCACGGACTGCTCGCCTTCTTCAAGTCGGAGAAGCTGCACATGATCCGCATGAGGAACCCCTGGGGAGAGAAGGAGTGGAGCGGCCCCTGGAGTGACAGGTGAAACATAAACACTGCCACCTACAGGCACGGAGGAACTACTGCAGCCAATCGTCTTACCTTGTCTCTTTGACCCTTCTTTGTCCATCTGCCTCAATTTGGCACAAACGAGTAAGACATTTTCCAGAGCAGCAGGAACATTTTCCTTTCATGCATGACCCTTGTTGTGACCCGGGCCAATTAAGCCCATTTCACTGATTTGATTTGGAAAATGACGAAGCGCACATGTCCTCTTGGCTCTCAAGAGGGAGCACGTGTGATGAATAAGCAAACAACTAAAAAAACAACACCAGATAATTTATCATCTCCAGAAGGTTGACAAAGAAAGATGGCACAATGGGAACTGTCACAGAGACAATAAAAAAAAAAGAGAGGCAATCAAGCTAATGGGTCCCAGAGCAAAGAAGAAGAACGACTTAATTCAGCCATGTTGGAGTGTTATTTGTTTGAGCAGTAAAGTGCAGCTTAGATATTGCTTTCCAGGAACCCCGCCCCCGAAAACAGACAGGCTGAAATTGAGCCGACCAAACCTCCAATCTAAACGTCTAAGTGAATCAAAATGACCGGTTTGCACAAGAGGCCGTTTAATCCTTTTGGCAGAGCTGCCGGCTGTTTGATTCTTTCTGCCTTTCTGCTACTCTATACACCTCTTACGGGAACAGGTGAGGCCGAGATAAACACGCTCCCTCGACGTCTCTCCAGCCTTTTTGAGGTGCATGCTTACCAGCCTCTGTGAAACAAAAACAGGGAGGTGGTAAAAAAAAAAGAAAAGCAGGATCATAATGGAGTCTGAATTATTGATAAGGCCAAGAAAGAGAGAAAGATGTTATTAAAGAGACACGACTCCCAACGCTCATCTTTCTCAATCACTCACTCCACCTCCCTGAATAATTGATTCGCGCTTTGATAAAAACCTGTTACAGTAAATGCAGCCTGACAGTCTGTCGAGAGGTGGACGTGTGTCACTGAATCATCATAAACACAGAGCTAATGCACGCAGTAAAAGTCTGTGTTTCCCTCTGAGCAGTGAATACAGAGTGGACCTTGATGTTAACGTATGATTCACAGGATTAACTACACAACGGTCTCTTTAAGGTAACGGCGCCCATGAGGGATAGACACATACATCATTTATATATTTAAATAGATAAATACAGTTAGTGAGTATTTAAATACTTCTTTATTAAGATCATGAAAAGATTATTGATCTACTAGTGGATGGTAAATGGACTTGAGCTTGTTTACACCTTCACATTTACACACTGATGGTCGAGGCTGCTATCAGGAGGAACTCCACCACCACCAACAAAGCAGCAGGAGCTACTTGGGGTTAAGTGTCTTTCCCAAGGACACGTCGGACATGTTGCTGCAGGAGCTGGGGATCGAACCCGCGACCTTCCAGTTAGGAGATGACCCAATCTACCAATTGAGCCACAACGACCTCAGATGAAATGTTGTTTACTGCCTCCAGATTTGATCAATTTAATTTGTGTCTGTGAGTTTTGGATGTGGATTATTTTGTACAGAAATTACGCATTACTTTTTTTCTGCCAACACAACAAAACAAAACAAAGACCCGGTGTGGACAAAAACAGTGTAAGGGGTCTGAAATGATGTACAGTCTTCCCAGATGCAGTGAAACTCCGCCGACTATTAACTTGCGAGGGAGAAGAGAAGGCCGTCACAATAACGGTTATTAAAAAAAAACCTCCAGTAGGGAAACTACAAAATCTGTGAAAACAATGAATACATATGAAAGTGTGATTTAATTGGCCGGCTAATTGTTGATAAAACTTTCAGTCGAATATCTTAAATTATTATTCTGCTAATTTGAAACAACTTTCTCTCAACAAAAGAATCAGCATGCAGGGCTCTAAACACGAACACAGTAACTTACTGTGTAACTTATCTGACTGATGTTGTTTGTCTTCTCTCTCTAATGTCTGCGTTTGCTCTCATGTCTTTGTTCTCTGCAGCTCGGAGGAGTGGAACAAGGTGAGCAAGAGCGAGAGAGAAAAGCTGGGCGTCACTGTGCAGGACGACGGCGAGTTCTGGTGAGAAACCATAAAAGCACCGCTGAAGATCCCGTATCATAGACCCATGAGTTAACGTGGTGCTGGCATGGTTCAAAAAATATCTCTATATATATATAGGAAGTTTTTCATAGTTCTTGGAACTGTTGGATCACCACCCCCCTCCCCCCACTGCACCACTTATATTTCAGCTCATAGATCCGGTTTAGAGGAATATTTCTACTTCCTGCTTCAGAGTAGCTACTCTCCCATCACCATGGCGATTGAAATGCAGACAGAAAAAAAGTTGTCATGATGTGTAGGTCTGAAAACACTTTTTAACGGTTTGGTCAGAGTAAACAAGCCGTTTAAACTGTTACAGCGGATTCTGCATTTTGGACATTTTGGATTAAATGATGAAATATAATCTTAAGGCAGCACAAAGACTTCTTGTGATGAAAGATTCAACAGAAAACTCAAAGTACTTGGTCTTTATTGATTCTCTGATCATCCGGTGAATTTATGATAGTAAAAAAAAGTGTTGGTTAGACGACTTCAAGTGAATAATTCTACAGGACAGTTTAGCCTTTTGAGAATAATTGTTGTTTTTATTGCTGAGAGTTTGATGAGAACATCGACACCACTCAAGGTTTCAACCAGGGGCAAGTTAGCTTAGCACAAACACTGGAAACAAGGGGAAACTGCGAGCCAAAGATTACAGAAACAACCTACCAGCACTTTTAAATTATTATTTTTGTTTTATTTCTCTTACCAAAGTGTAAATCAATAGTTTGTTGCAGTGACTTCATTTACATAATAAATAGAAACTTATAAAGCTGTCTTGTGGCTGTGGCTAGCTGTTCCCCTCTTTATACACCAAAACATCTTTGTTGATTTTCGCTGTCAGAAGAGAGAAACTCTGATTTTAAAAGTATGAATAAAAGTAAGATCTTGATTTTCATTGAGTCCACATGATTTAAAATAAGATCTCATTCCATGTCAGCACCAGAACTTGTAGTCCCCCCCTGTAACATGTAACCCTTTTCTTTGTTCCTGGTCTCATTTCCTCTATTTTTTGCACCTATTCAAGGTTCTTCTTCTTTCAAGCTTTTCCCTCTAGTTGGTATCCACTCTCTCCGGTCTCTTCTCTCCTCTCCTTTTCCTGACCTCCTTGCAGGATGACCTTCGACGACTTCTGCCAGTACTTCACCGACCTGATCCTGTGCCGCCTCATCAACACCTCCTACCTTAGCATCCACAAAACCTGGGAGGAGGAGGTGATGAGGGGCTCCTGGGTCCATCGGCAGGACCCCCTCCGCAACCGGTCCGGAGGCTGCATCAATCACAAAGCCACCTTCCTGCAGAACCCACAGGTGAGTCCAGGTGGTGGTGTTACTGTACACATGGTGGGTGTGTGAGGAGAGTCTGACCCCTCTCTCTCTCTCTTGCAGTACGTGTTCGACGTGAAGAAGTCGGAGGACGAGGTGCTGATCTGCTTACAGCAAAAAGAGAAGAGAGCCACACCCAAAGAGGGGAAAGGAGAAAACCTCGCCATAGGCTTCGACATTCATCGGGTACAAAACACACGCTCGTGCAGGAATACCAAACGTCTTCCGTTCACAGTCAAAAGAACTAAAAAAATAAATAAAAATCTTCTCTTCCTGCAGGTGGAGCTAAATCGAAAGTACCGTATGCACTCAGCCCAGCAGAAAGTAGCGGGCTCCATCTACATTAACTCGCGCTGCGTCTTCCTCAGGAAGGAGCTAAAGGAGGGCCGCTACGTCATCATTCCCACAACGTTTGACCCCGGGCAGCAGGGCGACTTCCTGCTCCGTGTCTTCACTGATGTGCCTTCAGACTGCAAGTAAAGCACATTTATAACACTTGACACTTATAAAATGTCTTAGAAGCAGCTGCGCACATTTTTTAAACATGGCTTTTAATAATTATCATTGTTTCTTTGAATCAATCACTTTGTTTTTTTTTTAAGCCATGTACTCAATCATTCACATGTTTTATGAATCATTCCTGGGAGATAAGTAAAACAAGAACATGCAGATATGAAACAACATCATCCTGTTAGTATTTAAACATGCTTTTAATTGAGCTTTACAATTTTAACTGTGCTGAAGTATCCCCCAAAAACTTGAAGGAGCAGTATGTAACTCTGACCCCTAGTGTTTAAAATGGGTACTGCAGTCTAAATTCTAAACATTGGAGAGAGCTGTCTCCCCCCCCTCCTCTCTAGAGTGGATGCTCACTCAGGTCACCATGTGGTGGACTCTGAAGCTTCAGTGTTTATCCAGCTCTGCATGGGTCTGTAAACCTTTCTGTGTTCTAACCTCTCTCCATTTTTCAAAAGCATCTCCAATATTGATCCTAGTTTGAGCACGTTTCTGCTCGTGGAGCTTATTAGAAACATGCAGAGGCTTTTTAGGTCGGGTACAATCACTTCTATCTGAACCACTTCTCTTGACCGCTTCCATCGCTGCAACACCTGTTGACCTGATAACTGCTCTCATATCTGACAAACCGAGGGGCGTCCAAAACGGCCGTGTGGTGGGGGTCAGCCTTAAAAGCGCCTACCTTCTCTGGTCCAAACAAATCCAGAGCATTCAGGAGCAGAATCTAAAGTTAGAAGGAGGACATACTGGCTGCTGCATTGTTGTCAGAGAAGCCAGCACTTCAACATAGCATGTTTCCTTAATGTCTGATCAGATAGGAAGGTATTGCCCAACCCTCAAAAAAAGTACTTTGACTTAACATTAAACAAAATGATTTAAAGAACAGAAGTTAATTTGTCTTAAACGGTTGCTTAACAGTCCCGTATGCTGTCTGTTTCCCAGAGAGCTGTCTCTGGACGAGCCTCCTCAGACGTGCTGGACGGGGATGTGTGGCTACCCTCAGCTGGTCACTCAGGTCCATGTACTGAACGCTGAGGGTCTGCAGGGACAGGAATCCAATGGAGGTAAGACCACACGACACATGGTGGATAAAAATGTCATCCTGACACTGAATCTGTTGTTTATCACTTCTCTTTATCACAAAGCTCTATAAAACTTCTGTAAACGCCCACAGAGCTTCACTGCCTCAATCCAAATAAGAAAAGACTCCTGAACAAAACACAAGGTATCGTAGCCTCATCTGCTGGAGATGTAGATCGCTGTTTGCTTCTAGCCCCGTAGTATTCAGTCTAAACCTCCTGCAGTGTGTGCACAAACCTGTGACGTCTAAAACCCCTCCCACTTTTAAAGCCACTACGTGTGAATGTTTGTGTGTAAATATAGTATCTTTTTTAATGATTCTGTTATCACTAAATGAGCGACTGCTCTGCTGAAAATCTGTGAAGAGACATAATGAGCCAAGTGATGATTAACACAGTGTCCACAGGAGGGTGCCAGAGTCAGAAATTTTATTATCCTGCACATAATGGCTTCAGGATGGATGGATTAGAAATGACAGTAGAAATAGATTAGACATTGAAACAGGCCGTCATAAGAATTAGAAACATAGAGAAGAGAATATTTGTAAAAAATCTAAATTGGTAGTTACTAGATTTTGATTTCAGTAATAATTAAATTGTAATTGAGTTTATTTAATTTAAGGTATATTTGCATATGACAGGCAAAATATATTTAGATATAACATCATTGTTGGATGTTTTGCATGTTTAATTCATGTTGATTGTTTTGGCAACAACAGTTGTTTACCATTCATCCCAATAAAATATCTAAAACTTAAGCTTAATCGAGATCAGAGCCCGACCGATTTATCAGCCAGCCGATAATTTCTGCCGATATCAGCACATGCAGTAACTATCAGTATCGTGTAATTTTATAATTAATTTGAAAGTTGAGTGACCATCTGTTCTTCTTTATATATCTTCTCCACATGTGTTTGAAAACTGCATTTGAGGAATCAAAGCAATACATGTGTGAATATCTTTATCTATCTGTACAGATCGGACATAGATCTAAGATATCGGCCGTTATATCAGTATCTGTTTTATCCATATCTGCATCAGCCACAAAAATCTCTTATCGGGCCCTAATTGAGATTCCTGTACTGATGGAGCAGCAAGAGAAGAAATATGGAAAGTAAAATCCAACGAGGTGTTGGATTCCATTACTCAAAGTTCTTCATTGGAAAAACGGAAATAAAAGTATCAACAGTGAAATGAACTAGAAGTAGCAGATGTTAGATTATTAATTTCACAGCAGGTTGTACGCTGAGAGTAATCGATGACATCACAAGTTCGCAAATAAAGAGGCTTCTGTATAAAAGCAGCATTATTTAGTTGTATTTGTTTGTGATGGAGCTGGACTGAGGTCTACTGATCTCCATCCTCGGGGTCGGGTCCTTCAATAAATCTATGAAGAGACAGAAAAGTCAGCACACTAAATGTCCACAGACCCTCATCAGCTGTTTTGATATTTCAATAAATCTGACAGGTCGTGGGTATATAAATAGGAGAGAAAATAAAATAAATACAGTTTTACCGTATCGACATACTTCATCAGATACTCATGTGCACAAACAAACCAGTAGCATATTAATCACAGTGTTTTGTTATCAGCACAGTCGTCTGATTCTAAAGGCGCTCTCCTCCTCCAGCTGTAGATCCGTACGTGATCATCACCTGTGAAGGAGAGAGGGTTCGTTCTCCGGTTCAAAAGGACGCACGGTGCCCAAACTTCGACATCAAAGGCCTGTTCTACCGCAAGAAACCCAAGGAGGGAATCCACATCGAGGTGAGCTGTCACTCTCTGCACACGACGACCCGCTGCGGGGGCGTACACAGAAAGCTGCATTTACAAAAAGCACTCTTATGATGGCGAGCTGAACAGATCCTGTTCATGGACGCTTTCAGACCAGAGACACCAGACTTTACTGACACTGAATGCTAATGCTAATGCTAACTCTTTTCTATTGTAAGTATCTCCAAACTAACAGATAATGTAAAGGTTAAAAGACTGATAATGAAGTCAGCTGTAAAAGATTAGAGCCATGCACTTTCATTCAGAGATATCTTAATAGCAACAGGAGATGCTTTCTCTTGCTGACTTTTTATTTCCAGCCAAGTGATCAGGACTTTGACTTAAACCACATGTCAATCAAAATACATCAGTATGTCATTTTCTTTTTTCTTTTTTTTTTAAGATTTATTTTTGGGCTTTTGTGCCTTTATTGGAGAGATAGGACAGTGGATACAGACGGAAGTCAGAGAGAGAGAGTGGGGATCGACATGCGGGAAAGGAGCCACAGGCTGGATTTGAACCTGGGCCGCCCGCTTTTAGGACTATAACCTCCATATATGGGACCCGTGCACTAACCGTTGCGCCACCAGCGCCCCAGTATGTCATTTGTAATGGAAAAAAAGGTAGAAGTGAGCGCTGTACTGGGTCAAACAAAATGTAGAGAAGTCAGGTGATCTTCAAGACGAGGGGACAGAAATCAAATAGCTGATAAAAGGTTGACTGTCCTGATAACAGACACAGTCAGAGGCACTCTAATGCAGTTTAAGAATCCTTTATTAAACAGGGATGTGTCTACACGTTTCAAGTCTTTGTCAGGACATCATAGACACATCCCTGTATAGTAAAGGTTTAATCAACTATTTATTAGCTATATCATTTTTAATAAACACATTATGCATTGTCTTAACTCTCAGTCAAACAAACACACTGACCCTCAGGGGCTGAAGCCGGACAGAAACGTTTATTTTCCACATTATCAGGGCGACTATGATTCAGATCTATGAAGTCTGAAGAAAACACATGAAGACTTGATTCAACCGATTGGCAGATTGAAAAAGTTTGATAACTGTTTTTAAAAAGCAATTCCACTCACAAGTACTTAACGACAAAGTAGCTCTGTCCTTACCGGGTTGTGTCACTTTAAAGTCAAGTGACATAAAACGAATGAAAAGGAGCTTTGAAGAGGTGAAAAACACAGAGCGCCTCTCCTCGGAGAAGTCGAGCTGTTGACTGTTTGTTGCACGGCGACTGCTCAAAGAAATAAAGAAACATCTCACAGAGAAAATTAAAGGTCGAGTCAGAACATTCAAACTGGGCCCCTCCTCCCGGCCTCATACTGCTCGTACTTTCACTGCAAGCTACCTCACGCTAGCACGAGCTAACCCCCGGTGTTTGTCACCTGACTGTCCCACGGAAAGCAGACCAACTCTACGTCTTCAGCTGAAATCCAACACAAGGTTCACCCTCGTTGTGGAATGAGTTTTATCAGCTTGGTATTCGCTTTTGCCGCTACGTCCACGTCCGTCGTATTCATCGCGTCCAGATGCTGAATTCCACTCGTAACTCCTTCCACCAGCTCCGCCCACAAACGTCCAGAGTCAACCAGCACAAACAAAACAGTAAAATCCAGTCAGATTTCAGAGTCTCTGCAGAAACAGTCACCACCACACATATATGGAGGCCCAGAAGGGATAATTGAGCGGCATTACTTTTGTATAAGTCTCTCTTTTATTTTTCAGGAAGAAGCTCTTGACTCTGCCTTTAAACTTTAATATCTCTTGTTCCCTCTTTATCATTTATTCAGTTGCTCTTTCAGCAGCCGTCTGAACCCAAATGTCGGCTCACACTTACATTTTTTTAAATGTTTATTATGAAAAATGAAAAGTAATTCCCAGTTCTTTATTAATGTGTGTGAAGCTGCTAACTAATCTCCACGAGCAGAAACGTGCTCAAACTAGGATCAATATTGGAGATGCTTTTGAAAAATGGAGAGAGGTTAGAACACAGAAAGGTTTACAGACCCATGCAGAGCTGGATAAACACTGAAGCTTCAGAGTCCACCACATGGTGACCTGCGTGAGCATGGACTCTAGAGAGGAGGGGGGAGACAG